TAGAATAATCATTACATTGGAAAAATCTAATAATTATATTTCTGATTCAGGGTGTTGGCAGACCTGGACAATCTAATGCCAGGGACGACGACGAGGCGTACGATGATTATTACGATGGTTCTGGCACCCGACACACTAGAACTCGGGGTGTCAATGCGTCCGTTCGTCGGGAGAGGGACGCGGAAAGGCAGGCGTTGATCGATGAGGCTCGTAGGGTACAGCTTCGCCAGGCGAGCCAGAGTTCCCGCCCCCCAGCACCAGTGCCCACTGGTCCATATCATTTTGAGGGCCAGCCAAGTAGTTCGCGACCCCACGGAGCCATCCCGTACGGCGAACATGGATTCTATTTTCCTGGCCAGGCGGGCAGGACGATGCCCCTGGCACCAGTACCGTACGATCAGCCGGGATTTGCTTTTCCCCGCTTCGCAGGGAAGTCATTACCCCCCCGCGCACGCGTACCATTACCTTATGGTCAGCAGGGGTATGCTGATGATGAGTCGTTCGGCGAGAGAGAGCCGGGTCCAGAGGACTATGACTCGGACGACTCTTTAGATGATCAGGACCACGCACAGCCTACGGGTCCTATCCACCCTCGTCCTACTGTACAGCCAGTTCGTCCGGTACAGCCGGTTGTACAGCCATTCCGTCCTGCTGTTCGTCCCACACAGCCTGCTCCTCAACGGCAGGCTGGGGGGCGTTTTGTCCCTTCTGCATCCTCATCAGGTAAATAATTTACTTATTTAATGTTGTTTAACATAAATTATCGGTACTGTTAGAAAAGTATTATCAGCCTGCTCGTCAACTACAGTATAATTATTTTGTAATTTAGGGTAAGTTGAATAAATTGTAATTAATTATAAATTCAAAAAATAAAATTAATAATTATAAATTATATATGCTTATAATAATAACGTAAAACGTAAAATGTAAAATGTAACGTAACTAATAAAATATGTTTTATTAAATATATTTTATTTAATGCATCTGCCAGCAAGTCAATATATACAGATATGTTGTATTTCAATGCAGGTACTAGCAAACGAGCTAGGACCGATGATGATGCACCTTGGATCGTTAGAGGCTCAGTGCCCGGTGGGCCCATTGATGGGAGTGTCATCCCTAGCTTTCTTGGGCACGTCGCCTCCCGCATGTGGAGTGGGAGTTTGAGTGGGCTACTGAAATGCCACAACAGAGTGCGAGCGATCGATAATCTGAAGGCTTGGCGTGAAGAGATGTCTCCCGATGCTACAGCTCTTCTCGACCAGACCGGGCTGTCACATTTGGTCGACTCCATGCACACCCACTTGGACACCCCACTCCTTTCTGCTTTTGTGGAGCGATGGCAGCCGGATACTAACTCGTTTCACATGCCTTTTGGTGAGATGAGCATCATGCTGCACGACGTCCGGGCCATTTTGGGCGTTCCAGTGGAGGGAGCCGTGGTCGCTGAGGACCCGGAATCGGAGGCCTGCCAGGGGCTCTGCATGTCGATACTTTCGGTCACCAAGGGCGAACTCATGAGTTCGTTCTGGCAGCGTGGTTCGGTGTCCGAAGCCGCCATTTCGGGGGCATTCAGGGGGAAAGACCGGCCGGCTAGGGATGAGGCGGGTGCCTGGCTGTGGGTGATGCTGGCTACCACATTGTTCGTCGACAAGAGTGGTAGTAGAGTGACCCCCAAGCTCCTGCACGAGGTGCTCGACGG